CTGGCCTTCGGCCTCGGGCAAGTCTCTCAAGATAGTAATAAACCGTCCTAAATGGGTATCTTCATTTCTTCTGGGATCCAGTCCGGTGCCTTCCCGCACAAGCCTCTACTCTCCGTTCGACATCGCCACCTAGCATAGAGTTATATCGGTCTGAACTTGCCAAATGTGTCACTTTTCCTCAAGTAGGCAAATTTTATCCAGCCACCAGCGTATCTATCTGGTAGGAGGATTTTATAACTGGACATCCTTGAACAGAGAAGTACTTGACCACGACGGAGTAGCATGTTCCTACCCACCCGCTTCCCATGGTTTTCAATAGTATTGTGCGTTGCCCAGTTGAAGCTGTCAAGTAGCATCTTGCCCTTTCTTGACTGTTTCGGTCAAAGCCTGTGCGATTACTTTGTTCGCGCTCCGGCATGCAACCAAGCTCTTCTCCATCATCTTGTTGTATATGGTCATGTCTGCACCGGGAAGCTGCCCTTTGAACCAAACATTTGTGATCTCGTCTCGCGTAGGTAAGTAAGCAACACAGCAAGCTGCGTGTATCCTCTGGTTCTCCGCTATGATTGGGTCGAGGATAACAGTTGGGGAAGTGGTGGTTTCGTCATGCGATACAAGCGCTGCTACTCCTCCGGCAACGGTATCGACGCAATCGATACCTGCATCTGCAATCGCAGCAGAAGCCACCGTGATACATCCGCTCAACACGTTCATCATATCCCATCCGCCATCGTTCTGGTTGTGGGGAGCATCCCGGTCTTGGTCACCTTCGATGATTGTTACAATAATGTCAACACCGCTCTTCGGCCAACGATCTGCGATGATAGCCCCTCTCAAGGCTGTCTCCAGATGGACACCAAGGTCTCTTTCGCTAGAATCTCGGATGTAGCCCCGCCGCATCCGCGTGGCAAACGGTGCATATTTGACGTGTGTCGAGAGAATAATATGAGGGGAGAAAGGTGCAGATCTGGGGAGAGCACGAGGGCCGTGTACGGTGCAAGAGAGCTTTAGACTCGTGCGGTATGGAGAATTCTTGTTGGGGTTCTCCAATTCCAAGTACGCCGAGCCGGAAGCTGAAGGAGTGACGCCGGTCTTTAAAACTAGACAAGCAGCACAGTCAATAAACTGCCATCCTACAGGTGAAGCCATCGCTCAAGAACCCCACCACTTACATATTTTTCTGATTGAGTTGTGCTGGGTCGCGGGCAGTCGCACAGGTGCTGACACAAACAGCGGCGGTGCCGTTGTACCGACTGGTCCATTTATCCGCCTTCTATCAGCCATTGTTTCTCTGAGTGCGAGGGTTGGTGCGCTGAAGTCTCTGTTTCCCTCGCCCGTCTACTGATGATGGCAGAATCGAAAATTGGATCCCAGTCAATCCCAGACCAGTAACGGAGGCCCCACTGTCAAGCTTCCGCACGGACCAACCACATTTAGTTTCAATACTTCAGCATTTTTTTTCAAGCTGTGAAATTTTTATTTCTTGCTTCTTCATCCCAACATCACCGCAGGATGATCGTCTCAGAACCAGCATCCGAAGCTGCAATGGGAGGCTTCTAAAAGTTGGTTGTTTGCCTGAATACCATCATACACTTTAAATGGTGTATTAGTATGCAATACATGAAGCAAGCGTCATTGGCGGCTGCGTTCCCTCAGTTCTGCTTGCCGAATGCTTCTCGAAACTGCCTCTCCGCGGCAATGTCCTATTCTACTAAGTAAGTTCATGTTACGCCAGCACACCAAGCCCGAGACCCATCCCCCCTTGCTGTTGATGATTTTTCTTCCACAGTTCTTTGTGACTTCCAGTGAGCATTAGAACAAACATGCATCACCATCTGAAGCGAATCCTATCTATTCACGCTTGAAAGCTTAGATTTGGAACTGGTGGGCTAACCTATTCACCTAGTATTTTGATGTTGCACCAGCTCTGATCTTCGAGATTACCTATCGGGTATTTTATGACAGGTAAGCCAAACCCTGAGCGTATTTACATACCCACTCTCCCCGTCGATGATGAGAACCTATCTTTCAGTTCTGCTTCTGAAGCCCTGTGAAGACAACACCTATACCAAAATATAATCTCTGATAAACAAATTTTTGCATCATATTTCATGCCATATGCCTAGCGAATATGAGACCATGGACTGACTCCATCGAACAGGATAACTTCACAGATTAATGATGCTACCGTCATCATCACAAGCCATCGTCTAATGTAGGTACTCAATCTTTTAGATTTTTGAACACACATACCCTGTTTATGATGAAACAAGTTTATCCATTCAACTATCTCACCGGGCCAAGCACCCCTCCCGCACCGGAGTTGTCCATTGGGCAATGATGATTGGTTGTGGAGTTGTCTTCGGATGTGATGTGAGCTCCAGTTGCTCTCTACTCTTAGGTACCGTCTTGGGATTTGAGAATTAGAGGGACGGCTTCAGGTGAATGAGTAAACTGGTTTGTCTGATTCACTATGGGGAATACTCTTTCGTCCTGCTACGCCTCTATTTGGCAATGTTGCTGATTCTCAACATAGGACGCTCACCATTGGCAGCAAGCCTCGATGCACTAGGCGATTGGGATATATAAAGGGCAAGGTAAGGAGTCGTAGAAATCGTAATCATATCGCGTTGCCCGCGGCCCCATTACACGCCACAAACCGATCTATATTTGTGATATAGGCTAGCTACTTGGGCTACAGCACCTCTAGTCTATGTAAAAAATGAATAGATATTTTTGAACCAGTCTCATTTACGATGATTTCCTGTGCATGACGCCAGCAGCTGCCTGGTGGCTGGGGAAGACTAGAGTGTCTGCTACCACCACGTTCTCTCTTCTTCCAGCTACGAAAACAACGACCTCGGCAATATCATCGGGCGTCAAAGGGTCGCAGCCACTTTATCAAGTCAGCTACGAGGCACATACATGTTACTTGCTTGGACAACGGATACTTACGCATAGACAGCGTCCGCCTTCGACTTGTCGCCGTAGAAGCGTACAACGGAAAACTCCTACACAGCTGTATTAGCGACTCTAGACTTCTCAAAAAAAAAAAAAAAAAAGGGTAAATTGCCCGCCGCGGTGGCATGAAACTTACCGTCTCGACCTGACCAGGGTCAACCTCCATGACCCTCACCCTGGTGGCAATGAGCTCCTTCCTCAAGCTGTCGGTGAAGCTCCGAATGGCCGCCTTGGATGCGCAGTAGATGCTGCCGCCGGCGTAGGGCTCCCGTCCAGCTATGCTGCCAATGTTAATGATGTCGCCCTTGCCTCCATCGGGACGGGCAAGGTAGATGGGCAGGATAGCCTGGGTCATGTTGATTAGACCCGTGACGTTGGTTGCCCACATGATATTGATGTCCTCCTCGGCAATCTCGGGTGCCTTGGCAACGCCCTTGACGAGACCACTATAGGCGAATGGTCAGCCATGATTTCTTCGATGTTCGCCCCATAATCCTCGCGCCCGAGTCTCGCAAACTCTCCCGCAAGAAGGAAGAGAGTACAAAGCTGGCAATTGCGATAACCAGAGCAAGAGAGGAGAGATGGGGTATAGAAGGCAAGAAGTGAGAATGAGAAATACGGAAAAAAGAAATACTCACGCATTGTTGACCAGCACATCAATGTTCCTCCACTCCTCGGGCAGGTTACCGACGAAGCCGCGCACCTCATCGGGCTTGCTGACATCGAGCTGGACGGGCAGGACCTTGACGCCGTCGCCGACCTCCTTGACGATGTCGGCGGCGATCTCCTTGAGGGTGTCGATGCGGCGGGCGGTGAGGATCAGCCGCAGGTCCTGGGGTACCGTGCGGGCGAACTCGAAGGCGGTGCTGCGGCCGATGCCGGACGAGGCGCCGGTGATGACCACGGTCTTGCCGGCGAGGCGCTTGGCGACGGCGGTCGACATGGCGGCGCGCTGGAACAGGGACGGCGGGCGGGCGTGGAGGATGCTGGTGGTGGTGGTGGCGGTGGTGCTTCTACCGGTGGGCGAGAATAAGAGTGCAGTTGTTGTGGCGGTGGTCGTCGTGGGAGCAGCACGGAGGCGCGAGAGCTGGCGCAAGGTGGTGGTGATGGAGCAGGCGGTCCGTGAGTAGAGCATTAAGGGGAGAGGAGATAGAAGCCCGCTGGGTCTGATGGAATGTCGCAATGGGGAAGGAGGGAGGGGGGAGGAGGGTTGCTTTTCTACTATTTCTGGTCCCTTTTCTCGGCTTGAGTCAGAATAAGAGGGTCCTTCAATATAATACAGGTGCGCGGGCGTGGATATGTGTGCGTGAGTGTGTACCAATTGTTAGCTCTCTAAGTTAATGCAGTTCTCTCAATGGCCGGGGCGGAGCTCGTGGAAATGATGCCATCGGCCCCATCCCGTTCCCAAGGGAAAAGAAACCCAAAGGTCCCCCACCACCAGGAACAAGCAGTTGCTACCCCGCCATCGGGGACTAGGGGGGCTCTGGCGGGTTAACATTGAGTTTCAGAGGGGACAGAGGCCGTCTAATGCCTCAACGCCGATGAAAGATCGGACTTTACAAAGCTGATGGAGACTACATATGAGTCAATATCGGATGGGAGAGAGTCGCTATCCAAAATTCCTCCAATAGCAAAAAGCATCTGCAATGATATACTGCATAGACCACTTGCAGGCACAGGGAGCTTACGGGTGTTAGCATCCTGTATAGCCGGTATCACCGTGACACCCACCACAGATGTGGGTTGACCTACGCAGTAGGACGAGCACGGGTGTTTCTTTAATCCTCGCACGTCATGGTTGAAACAATTGGTTTCCCCAAATTATTGAAACAGGGCAGAGCGGGATAGGTAGCTGACAGTCTTTCTAATGTCACATCAACTATTTAGCCATTGGTGGGTGGACGGCGGAATGGAGCACCGTGGGGCAGTAAAAGGCCAACCCAGTAAGGCGAGAAAAAAATGGATTTTGCACGCCACTTTTAACTAGAGCTGATAGCGTAAGATACGCTGACAATCGCCATCCCAGTATCTTAGGAGCTGGTCACGTCGTCTAGTGGTAAGGACATCGGATTTTGACTACTTTGGCATCATTCCGAAAGCCTGGGTTCGATCCCCAGCGAGACCTGAAATTTTTGTCCCCTATCCAAATTGAATTTCGCTTTTTTGGCCCTACTCGTTTGTGCTGTCTTACACTAGCTAGTTTTTCCTACACACCAATTGAGGGAAGGTTTCATTTTTTATTTTTCCTTCTCATGGTATAAACCTGGCTACTGCATGATGCAAGCAGAAAAGCTTGGCCAAATCAAATGTGATGAAGCAAAGTGTCAGTATGCTAATTCTCTTATTTATTATTAGTACTTCCTCCCTCCGGATGAATTCTCAGTGACTGCCAATCATCTTTCTATTATGCAAGTCTATATGACCTTGAAGGTCTTTTCCTTCCTGAATGACGCCTGGCTAGTGATATATTGCAGAGGGGTTTTGTCCGCTGGTATCTTTCGAATCGGCGCCAAGATTCTTCTTGGCTTCCTGCTGCTGGTCACTTTCGTTTCCTGTGGAAAACCCGCTCGGCGCCAACCCCGAGAATTTCCCTTACTCCCTTGTTCAGGATCTGTATGGGTATAAGTGCGCTGTTCGCGATTTGTGTCTGTCCGTCCCCGGTAAACATGTGTCCTCATCAAGCAGCCTTGCGCTGCTGTCTTCTCATTTCTAGTTCCGCTTCCATTCGTGCCATTATTGATTCCTCGCGTTCTTTTGTCTCGCTGCTTAGCCTATGCTGTTGCTCAGCCCATTTCAGATAGTTTGGCTCATCCTTTCGGCCATCCTCGCCATCGTCGGGGATGCCAGGCACGTATTCGGGCGGTTGAAGGAAACCTCGAGCATCAGCTTCCACTATGGCCATGAAGAGCTTCGTTGCCATCATCTCGTACCCAGCTTCGGCAGGGTGCATACCTAAAGCGAACGTCTGTCAGCTCATTTCCTTTCGGGAATTACACCAAAAACTATTGTGGTCTACGTTCTACCCAACCATTGTGCAATTGAATTGCCGATCAGCCAAAATATACTCACCATCGTGGGTTAGATTCTCATCTTGTATGCCATCTTTGCCCTGCATCTCAGCCAACACCACAGGGAGGCCCTGTTTCTGGTAGATTTTTGCCAACATGCGGATCTGGGGATTCACTCGAAACACTTCATCTCGTCCCTTGAAGTAATCATTCCAGGTCGGCAGCAAGGTGCTCATTACCAAAGTCGTTTTGTGGGACGCCATGAGCAGGAACTGCACAAGGTCGTCATAGCGTTTATAAAAGTTATCGATCTCGAAATGCCCCAAACAGTCGTTGGTGCCGGCATTGATTAATACGATATTAGGTTTGCTCCGAGGTGTGATTTCTTTAGCCATGTCATGAATTGTACCGACGCGCACGCCCGGGCCGGCAGTGATGTCGTTGTCGGTCATGTTGCCTAGGCGAGAGGTGCCGACAAAGTTCACCTTGTGTCCCAGCGCAGTCAGCTTCTCCCGAAGCGGCCGCCGGAAACCGTTATTGTCCACCTCCACGGGACTATCTCCACGCGTAGTCGATGCGCCTATTGCAAGTATGCGCAGCGGTATCCCTTTGGCCAAGGGAAGCTCATAACCGGGTCGCTGGTACGGGTGATATGTGATTTTAGGTCGCTCGGTTAAAGTGTAATTTGAATGCGCCAATGATGAGTTCGACGGAACATGGGCTACGTGCACACCGTTCAGGGTGCTCTGATTTTGTAAACTGATATCGACATCGACTACCATCCCCGACATAAGCATCACTATAAAATTGTGGGCACGGTTAGCATCGTGTCCTCCCTCCCAGCTTGACCTGTCTTTGTGCTAGGGACTCGTCTTTGCATTACTTACTCAAAATCACCAGCGGTGCCCCAAGGGCAATAAGAAAACGCCTCCTTGCCACTATCATGTTGATGTATGAGATCGCGCGAGTGCTGCGCAGCATTTTCCAAATCGGCATTGCAAGCTACCATGCGATCCCCAGCCGAATTATATCAGATCCGCAGATCTAACGGATAGATCGAAAAAGTGGATAATGGCGCGACAACCCGCCCCTATTTGCGAATATGTTTGAGATGTCAATTGGGGCCATTTATTTGGAACCGTTAGGGAAGGTGGTCTGACTACCGGTAACGGCGGCACATCTGATGAACAACGGTTTGATTCGATACCGGATCCGCCGTAATGTTGATCAGGGCGGGAACAAGCAGCCCGATCGCTCCTTTTCCAAGATGCCAAGAGCACGTTGCTTGGCCCTTAGTTTGACATAAGGAAAGGAGGGACGGTGAAGATAGGAGATGCGGCAAGAGTAAAAACAAGGTCTGAAGTTGAATTTAGTGTGAGCAAGACGAGAAAAGGAAAGAAAAGAAAAAAACCAACATACAACAAGTAAGACCACCCGGAGAAAAAAAATCAAGTGCCACACAAACGCATCGGGCACGCTACACATGCAGAATATAACACACAGGATTGCCTGCAAAGCCACCACGCGACCAGTACGGTACGGGTGTTATCCGTGCCCCCAGATTCGCCGTTTGCCGTTTTAACCGCGCCAAGCATCTAGGATCCAGGGAAGCCTCAAGCTTCTTTCCAATCGTCTTGGCGGTAATGTAGCGAGTTTCACTGGCTCCTGGACGGCCGTGTGGGCTCCTAAGCAATGTCGGAAGGAGCGAGAAAGCCGGGTCTTCGGTAGCCCAGATGCAAACATAAATTACAGACCTATTCAAGCGGCTTCATGCAGGGGGAGTATACGGCGCAGCCTCGCGCGATGACAATCTTACAGAAGGGCACATGTGCCCGTAGCCTTAGAGCTTCCCCGGAGAGCTAACTCGGCAGGGTAGTTCAGCGGGGCAACGTTGCTTTTCTAGAAATCGAACGGGTACTCTACAGGCCGGTAGTTGATCCTCCTGACTAAAGCGGATTAGAGCCCAGTGAAACATAGCTATATTATAGTCCACGAATCCGTCTCAACTTAAGTTACCTCTAGATTGAAAAAATCACCATTGTCGTCATTGCTTTTCTCCCCAAGAGCGCCTACAATTTCAGTTAGCTAACGGTCCATGGATCCAGGACGCGCGGTCACTGATCTCTCGGGTTACCTCCCTAGTCTAGCTGGCGTCTCTCCTCCTTTGCCCGGGGGTGGCCCAGCAGCGTCTGTGCCTCGACACGGGTCGGATATCCCCTATGGACGCGCTTGTACGTTCTCGAGGTAGAGTCTGACTAGGGGCCTGGCCGCCTGCGCCAATAGATTTCTTACGCAGCACCACGGGCAATTAAAGGCAGCCCACCATTGCATGCGGTGGTGATTTTAGGTGGGTTGATTCCGCACCTCAGCACCCATCATCGCCTAAATAAAACCCACTGCTCGATGACTTAACTTGGGAGGGGATCGAGAAGGCGCCTCGCTTAACCCAAACTCTTATTACGACCGACCTCTCATCTTGGTCTCTCTGAGAACCCCCAACCCAACCCCTGGTGGTGTGTGCCAGCACCTCCTACAGCCATTGAACCAAAAATAAAAACAAGCATCTCCTGGACGTGTGGCGTATTGCACTAAAATGTCTGACAGTCGCGGCGGCGATTCCCACTTGGCCGCGAGTGGCTGTGAAAACCGTGCTGCACCAGCAATACCAGACACATCGGAACACCCGTAGAACACTGCAGACACACTCAGGTTGGTCGGCAATAGATCATCACCTCGTGTTCACCTGTATCATGGTATCACAAAGACCCCATCATCACGTGCAATGACCCAGGGATTCGGCTTGCGACCCAAAAATCTCTTTTACCCGGCCCAATGCCTGGTCCCCCCGCAGTGTTCTGCAGGGAGGCTGCCTGCCTGAAGAAAGGGAGAACCTTATGCTGCGGGAGCTAAAAGCCGGGGCTGCATGGACTCCTCAACTTTAAGCTAACTTATTAGGTATGTCACTTACATCAATACCGTAGGTATGGAACTAAGTAGTTAGTGGGTTTTCTCACAGTTGGTCCTCCCCCAACCCGCAGGCGGAAAGCGTCTGGAAGACGGGAAGGTTATGCTGTTTCGGAAACAAGCCTTGACTAACCGGACCCGGGATGCTCATACTAGGTGTTACAGGAGCTTGGGTACCTGAGCTCACCCAAACGTCATTGCGCGAAGCAAATTTGTCGAAGCTTTTTGAGTTGAGCCATGTGTATCATAAGCTCGTGAAGATTGTCTCATCCCTGGTGAACCTTTTTTTTTAAAAAAAAAAAAAAAAAAAAAAAAGGCCGACGAAGAAGAAAAAAAACCTGTCTCGTGCCCCCAATGGCGTGTTCGACAGCCACCTCTCACGGCCACGTCAGCTGCAGCTGGCGATAGTTTTGCTGCAGTGTGGTCAACACGAGTTTGTAATACGAACTCACTGCCCCGCAGCCTAGGATTCTTTCTTACCACATGAGGGTGTCCTGAAATCAGCTCAACCGACAATGCACTTGGCCAGTTGTGCAGGCAGATTATCTGGATAAGGAAATAATGCCAATTGAAGGATCAAAGTTCAATCAAATAAAATGAATTGGTAGCACCTCCCACGAGGCCGGGTTACTTCTATGTGTAATTATTAGGTGGATATAATAGCACAACGGTTTAATCATATGTTTCGTGATTACGTTCATCGTTCGATATTCTAAGTAGTATGTCCTCTTTTGAAGGCAGCATCGGTCAGTGCCATCTTGCCCACCAATTGTCATTATCTGATCGATTCGTTGGATCCCACTCGGGGAATGTATATTAGATTACAAGTATTTTAAGAATGCCGATGCTGCATCTGACAAGCAGGTCAAGCACTCTCTTGACTGGGTGAAGTGCGCTTGCCGATTGAACTGATCAATACCATTTTCTTACAAGCTCACCGAAATTAAAATGTACACTAACAACATAATCACTGGAGCTTGAAGAAGGGCTATTATAATTGAGACCATCAGGGGAGAATACGATTGGACTTCCTTTTCGCTCGCCATTGAATATCAACGAGTGATCCCACTGATACTTCTCCAGACGTACTGAAGCAGGTCTCCAGGGACGTTAAGTATTACCGTATTCCATGATGAAGTTAAGGTAAAGACGT